TTTTCTAACTTGTGCAATGCACTGGATGCTCTGAATTTCACACTCAACGCTCACAAGTGGACAAGCCCCAGGGGTTTTCTTTGTTATCTTTGTTAAGGTTATAAATTGATTATTTACAACTAAATGTATATAATTTTGAGTTTTTCGACTATTTATCCAAATGATCATGAGATTCTACGCGCTGTCCGCAATCTCAGAAGTTACACGAACTTTACGATAAAAAATTCGGTTTTTTTTTCTAGAAAAATGGTGAGAAGGAGGGAAGTGGAGTATAGAGTCAGAGGTAATTCTCTTCTCGACAACACTTGGTTAGTGTCCTTAAAATATTTACGATTAGGTATATTTATGATCCCCACAAAAGCTGACGTACCAGTTCTGCGATTGCGTCCCATACAGTATTAAGACGCCCGAAGAAGTTGTGTATGTCATAGTTTTGTACTTCGTAGCTCTTCGTGTAATAGCTAAAAAAGTTTTTCTTTCGATGTTTTCGCCCTAAGGAGTTGGGTAGCCTTACCTAGGGTTAATTACAGGATTGCGTCCAATGGATCTGTACATACCGTATATGCTTGCTATATCTGCAAATATTGGCTTGGGCATTGCAGAAAGAGGAATTTGTTGTTCCGTAATGATACCGTACCCGTAGTGGTCATTGTAGCAAACTTCGTCCCAAATTTTTCGCGTAGCTTCAGCGCCATTGCACCTTGTGCTGTCACAAACAGCTCGTCCGCAATCACCAAATCGTATGAGGTGTTCATAACGGTTTGAAAGGTTTCTGGAAATATCCATAAATTACGGTAAGATTATACTGGACGCATCCGAAATCGACACTTACCGTCTTCAAGACTAAAGCGCAAATATTGATATCCAACATGATGTGGCTGTTCAAAAAGATGCGGTGACATCTCAAAAAACCAAAACACTGCTGCTACGCTATCAGGTTCATTTGTATGTTGGTCGGCTGTAATAAATTATGAAATTCATAGTTATAAGTGATTTATGATGGAGGAAAGAG